TACATAGAAAAAATCTTAGATCTCTGAGTTCAGCTCATGAAAAATGGGGGCAAAAATAAAAGTGTTGCGTCTATAATTTTGTTCAGTATATTATATTATATTATATATATATATATATATATTGTGGTACTCTCAAGTGTCAAATGTCCTCTCATCTTGCTCATGTTTCCTTGCTCAACTCAACCCAGATCTTCACACAAGACGGAGAGATATTCATTGTACCTCATTTCTACCATGTTGCATTAGAATGCTCTTGTGTCTTCCTGAAACACAAGGCTGAATTATATCTCTGTCTCCCACTCTTTCCCAACTCATGCCTTGTATTTTCTCTTTTTTTGTCCTTTATGATAACGATCTTTGTCTCCTTTCATCTTTCAACTCTTTTCATCTGTCCTTTTTCTCTTCTCTCTACCCTCTCTCTGTATTCTCTGTTCATCAATTCACAAACAACAGAGACAGTGACTCAGAACTGGAATTAGGTGAGAGGAAGGTTATAGATACCACTTCATTTGTTTGAAACTGAAGATACAATAAAAAGATGGGAAAAATTGAAAATTCATATGCCGATGCTTCTCTCAAATGAGAGGATATGGAAAGAGCAATTAGCAATAGAACAAGCAAAACGTATTACAGGGATAGGTAATTCTGTCATTATTTTACATAAAATATAGCATGATGTTTTCAATGCCATGAGAGTGAGTAAATGACATTTAGAATTTTTTTGTTGACTCTCCCTTTAAATGAGAATTTTAGGGTTAGTGCAATGTTTCTATGTTTGCATATTAGAGAGAATATAAGATGAACCATGAGAGGGTCCGTCTGGTGTGACCATCTCTAGTGTGTTATTTGCATCTCCAGTGAATGATGTACAGCAAGTACACACACACACTCTCACAAAACACCACACCATATGTCTTGGATCCACTGTAAACCTTCATGTTCAATTATAACATTTAAGTGTGCCCCTTTAAGTGTGCATCTCACAGTTGAAATTATAAATGCATGATCAATATTATCAAAGCACAATTAAATGTTTCTGCTTTTTTTATCTGGCATGATGAGACATGATCTGACAAAAGGTGCCTGGGAATGACTGAGACTGTGTGTGAGCGTGTGTGGGCGACTGAATCTAAATGGACTGGATATGCCGCCTTTAACAAAAAAAATTGGCAGGATGGAGAGAGAGAGAGAGAGAGCGAGAGAGCGAGAGTGAGAGCTGGTTTGTATGTGATTAAAACACAGAAAGCAATGCCAGCTTAGATAGGTGCATGTTAAGTGCTCTTAAGTGTCAAGTAGCCTCCTTCAACAGTTATTGTATAGGCAAGCCCCTCCAGTGCACATCCAGCTAGAACTATTATTAATATATATATATATATATATATATATATATATATACATACATACATACATATATACATACATATATAATTATTTATTAATGTAAAATAATATGAGTTTCTATTTCTATTCTATTCTATTCTATTATATATTTGTGTATTATAGTTGTTCTGTAACCGCTTCTTTTCTACACTTTTTATGAGAACTATGGAAGTTATTTTTGTATTCATATTCCACACCTTCGGTGCTCTGGCTGTGGGAACTTTAAAGATTAAAAAAACTCTTGGCTGCTTAAATAGCCCTGAAGCACAAGGAAAAAATACTGATGAGAAAAGATTTAGGGTTATATGAGAGAGAGAGAGAGAGAGAGATTTCTTCTTTCCAATTTATGTTCACATTTCATCACTCTCTTCTTTTTATTGAGTCAGTTTTCTGCTTCTTTATTTTCCACCCTTTTACTTCTAATAAGTCCAGTTCTCTTTCTCTCACTGTCTATTTTTTTTTGTTCCCTGATGCCGTCCCAGCCTTATACCATTCTGGCAAACCTTTCACTATCTCTCACTAACTTACTCTGCCTTCCATGTTTATACTCTATTCCCATTGTTCTTCTTCTCTCATCGAGAGAAAAACTTCAGCATAGCTTAAACTGACAGTCTGCTTCATTAAGTCAGACGCCATTGACCAAAGACTCTTAATCAATCACAGCATTCACTTGGCACTAGATAATTAGTGTGAGCTCTGCGAAAGATTTTTGGAGTGGGCCTGAAAGGTCATGCATCCATATCTTTGAAGAATATTCACTGGCTTTAACTCTATAATTGTTCTGCAGGCTGAGATCAGTTATTTTAACATTATTATACAGGATAGATTCAGATAATCACACAATTTCAAAGCATATGGGCCATAAAAGTTCAGTTCTATTACACTGACCTCTTTGTTCACCTTATCAGCGGCCTTTGACTGACAGTCCTATTTATCAGTTACTAGGAAGAAATCCTATTGTGTGAGTGTGTCGTCCTTGTGTCAACTTTCCATGCCTTATTCATTTCATTTTAAGCCTTTCCGTTGACCGAGCTGATATGGAACAGCAGACAGACAGACACACTCACACAGTAGCATCAAAGTGCAGCGTAAGAACGCATAGTATGTTTCTATTAGAGCTGTTATGTAAGCATCTTCTTCTAGAAAAAAGCTTCCATTGACAAGTGACACCTCTCCCCCTCAGAATATATTTCGTACAGCTCTAGCAGTGCTCTCACATGCACATCTGTAAATTATTCTGCTACATTTTCTAAGGCTCTGAAATGTATTGCCTGAGGCTGTAAGCCATAAAAAATCCTCCTTCACATGTGTGCAAATGCAAATTTTCCGGCATCTCTCTGGCTGTGACCTCAGCTCCCACAGGCGTCTTAGAGAGGCTTATGAGCTCAAAACCCAGAGACATTGTCTTTTCTCTTTGCATTTTGGAACGAACCCTCTAAAACTGAGAAAAATGTTGCTGACGTGGAACCTCCTTCCAATTAGCGAGCAGGTCGGTTTAAATGTCACTGGTTACGAGTGACAGATGTTGGACACAGTTAGCCGTCTGTAAAACTCTCTTATTTGAGCCTTTTGTCACTGTAGTCTCATCTTGTTCAGCTGTGACAATGGCTGTCCATGTCGAGATTACAATAATACAATTTCAAGCCTTTTCATGTAACTGGTAATCAGTTGTGAAAGGGGTACGTACCCATGCGCCTCGAATTCTCAGCTGTACTGACTTTCTGCTAAATCACATTTCACAGGTCCCTTGATTGTCACTTATTCTGAAAAATCTTTGCTCTGTATGCTTTCTGTGAAAGACGACAGCGCATTTCTGAGGAAAAATTCAGATCTTATGACTACCATTCCAGAGAAACTTGATATCAATGATTAAAATTAAAAGTTACTATTTTAATAATTTAACATGTTGGTTAATGGTCACAGGACATGCAGGTAAACATAGAAATTAGTTCTTTTTTAGTTTTATTTGGATTGTTTTTATTTTACATTTTTTCTTTAATTTCATTTTTTATGATTTAAATAATTATTAGCTTTTTATCAACTCACAAACCCCATGCACTTCCCTTAAAGACACTCAGGGGTTTGCGAACACCAGACTGATCCAGCAATAGGGCATTTTAAGATGTAGCTAAATCCTAAAAGTTATACATATTCATACTGGCATACATACACTTGCATCAAAAAACAGAATGACAATATGAAAGAAATGAATCATGCCACTCTTTTAAAATGTATTAAACTTTCTGTGAGTAACAGACAAGACTAGTTATTCCTACATTATTGATTTCATCAATGCAAAGTATGATTAAAATATTTGTAAGCAGCCTCCTCTTTTCCTGGTAAAAAGAAAAGCAAATAATAACTTTCTGATATTATAAGTACTTTCTGATATTTCTGAAGTTCAATGTTTTACACAATATGAAATAAATCGTCAGCTTGGTTTAAATATATGAATTTCCACTACTGACGCACATCCTGTTTACGGTTCAATGCTGCCACACCACTTGTTAACACCACCACTGCCACACCACCCGTGTTAACTATTTTTCATAGACAAACTTTGCTATAGTGAAGCACCACTAAAGCTCATTGAATTTCTGACAGTCAAAAGGGATTCCCTTACCTACATCACATAACATATTTAAAGAGATACCAAAATAGACATAACTCTTAAAAAACAAAACAAAACAAAACAAAACAAAAAAAAACTTAAAATAGATCAAACTTAATGATACAACACTGCTAAATAGCTAAAGTTAATTAAAGTAAAATAAAAATAATAAAGATAAATAAACTGCACCGTAACCTATTTATGCACATATACTGACAGCAACAACAACATTAAATACTTAGGGAATAGTGGGATTAATAACTAGAAGTCATTCCAGTATTGCATCTTGGCACATAACAAAAAAAACCTGTGAATGAATGAATGTATGAATGAATGAATGGAAATGTAAAGGAATATTTCTTAAACAGCTTGGTGATTTAAAGACAAGCTAAAACTTGTTGAACCATACAGTGTAAAAAAAGTAAGTAATTTTACAACAAATTAGTAAAATCCTGTTCATAGGTAAACTGTAAGTCACTTTACTGTAAGTCAGTAAAATATTGTAAAAAAATATATATATATAAAGCACCTTATTTGTCTTTAAATTACATTTTGTTCTGTATTATATTTGAGTATTTGATATGGTATTTTAGGCGTTTAGTTTATTGCATTAATTTAGTATCATGTGTGTTACTAATGGTATTTTGCATGCTGTCTTTATATTAGGCTATTGTTGCTAACATTGTTAGAGAGTAAATTTTGGGATACTTAAATAGGTTGGAATTGACATTATATAGCTAATTTAATGAACAATTGGAACTGTGAAATATAGAGTCACCTCAATCCCATAATGTTCTGTAAACAGCTGCCAGCTTTTAATATAAATGCACTATTTTTATACAGTCAAATGTTAAAGAAAATTATAATATTAAAAATAACGAGTGAAGACAACTAGTGCCTTCCTTAAAAATGGCTTCTTTATACTCTTTGTGTTTGGCTGCATTGTGTTGTAATAATTAGATAAACTAAAGGCCACGTAGAGCTGTGGGTGTGCATTGTGTGTTTTCACCTTTATGAGTTTACACCTGATTTGCGCGGACACCATATGGCTGTTCCTCAGATTGCCCACGCGGAACATTAAGCAGAGTTTTCCGTCTCGCTGTGAGATCACCGCGTCCTGACTGAACATGAGCGTCTCCGCGCGCTTCTTGGGCTGGGACATCTTAATGAACATACAGCCGATGAGGAACGCGTCTACTATGGAGCCCAGCAGAGACTGGAACAGAAACAGGATGATGCCCTCTGGGCACTTTTCAGTTATATAGCGGTAACCGTAGCCAATGGTCGCCTCGGTTTCAATGAAAAAGAGGAACGCCGAAGGGAAGTTGTAAACATTGGCGACGCACGGAGTGTACGAAGCATCATGGCCATGATTCAAGTCCCCTCTTATATACGCGATGATCCACCACATCGAGGCCATGACCAGCCAGGCGATGGTGTAGGTGAGGATGAAAATGAGAAGGTTCCAGCGCCACTTCAAGTCCACCAGAGTAGTGAATAGGTCAGATAAATAGCGGCTGGTCTCTCCGCCGAGATTCCCGTGCTGGACGTTGCAGCGTCCGTTTTTGTCCACGAACCGCTGGCGCTTCTTCTTGACCGGCGCGCTCGGGAAAGTCGAGCCTCTGTTCGTGTTCACCACCTGGTAGTCCTCTCCAAATTTACGCCTTAGCGCTGCCATAACTTCAGCACATTTGGGAGTTTATTATCTTAAAAATACAAAAAGGAAACTTACTTTCTCTGTAGCATGGCTTTGGTGCCTTTCCACTTTCAAAAGTAGATGAAAAAAGGTCGCGAGGCAGGGCAAGGTCTCGCTGCCAAATTTTTCCCCTCGTGTAAATCTGGACTGTAAATGCAGTCAGGAAGACGCGTGGCTACTATAATGTCAGTTTACTGTAGCATCTCTGTACTAGTCTCTCTTCTTCTCTGGATGTCCGTGTGAAATGCACGGGTTGTGTTCTCTGTGCTCCTCTGCACATAATATGGCATGAACGGGAAAATAAGAGAGAAGAGAGAGTGGGTGGGAGGAGGGGGGCTTGGGTGAGCGAAATACTATTTCCTACACTGGAAAAGATGCTTGGGTGTGTGTGTGTGTGTGTGTGTGTGTGTGTGCGTGCGTGCGTGTGTGTTCCCCAGCATTGTGAAGAAGATTGGTTTTCCAGTCCAATGTTGAAATCAATACGCTACTAAGTCGAATTTGGTGTACTGTTAAAGCTGACACGTTACTTTGTATCGTCATGTTGGTATTAATATAGGCGACAAATTAAAGTGTCTTTTTCTGTGATTAAAGCCAAAAATAAAACCATAATTGCCCTTCAAAACTGAACGCTATTCCGCAGTCAATTGATCAAACTAACAGCGCCATCTGCTGACTGAAATGCGTGAGTACACAATTCACTCAAACAAAGCATAGCCGTTCATTCATTCATTCATTCATTCAAGATTTTAATCCTATAAGTCAACTCAAAGCAAGTCAAAACAAAAAGATCTGGAAGTCATGATTCTTAATAAAAGAAAAAATAAATCAAATAAAATCATTATTTCTCTCTTTTACTCTTCTAATAAATATTTTGTATAACTTTATAACTTTAAGAAATTTAGCATCCTTTTCTGATTTTCTTACATTTATTTTTATTCTTATTAGAAATGCACATAATAATAATAATAATAATAATAATACATTTACATTTACATTTGCATTTATTTTCAATATATAAAGTCACAATTATTCATTCATTCTCATATAGCACCCTTAGCTAAATTTATGTATTTATTTATTTTTAATGCTCTTTCTCTTGATGATTATTTGAAAAGGGTTCAACAAAATGACTGAAGCGCCTAAACAATGCCATCAGTAACATCATGCTTAGTTTAACAGAAAGCCTTTCCTAAATTTGATCTAGGCCTACCTCACATGGTGCTCTTTTGACGAATTGTGTAAAAAGTCACCTAGTCAGAAAGTGCTGAGTCTGATGATGTTAATGCTAACAGAACGGCACTGTCTGTCATTTTTTATATAAGTAGTAACTTATAGCTCTGAACAGTGGAGACACATGAACATAATATTCCCACCAGTCTAATGGCATGCTTATTTTTGGTTATTGTGCAGTTATTCACTGCAGAGAAATTTGAAACTGCATCCTCTTCCTCTCTCTGTTTGCTCCTTTGGGGAATCTCAAATACACGGGCAGCCATCAGACCACCAGGCCAGTATGTTTATTGTGTTATATTAAAAATCATTATAGTCCCTCATAATGACAACTCTTCTGGCTCTGAGGAATATTGAACACAGATGGAAAAAATATATCTCTTGTTAGGGGAGGTGCTGAGTATTTGTCTCTGTCTTAGATTAAAAACATTATTAAACACATTTATCAGGAAAATGAGTTATAACAGTAATGAAATATGGAGCAGTGTCTGGTATTTTTATTATGGAGGTTTATTATGAGTGTCCATGAACATTGTTATAGAATATTTAGTTTTATTTTCAGCTACTATGCAAACTACAGTATAATAGAGTGTATGATTTATGTGATCGTTTCAACATGTCTTTGATTATATATAGTGTGATCCAATAGCCAAGGCTCAAGCACACATAACTAAACAACAGTGAAGAAAACAGTGCTGGAAAAGAATCAGGGTCTCTTTATGCTAGGTGATTGACAGGAACAGATTCTCACTGGCCCCATGTGGATGATGCATAGAAGTTTGGGATTGATATATATTCTTCTCCATGATAAATAAACAACATAATATAGTATTAGAACACCAGATGCAGTTACACTGCCCTTCATATTTGGAAATGAAAAAAAGAATGAGAAGGAAAAAAAAAAGAATGAGAAAGGCAGAGATGGAAACAGTGAGCACATTGATACATGCTAGCTCTTGAATTATGAATGAGCTCTAAGAATGGATGACATCTACATAATATCACATGACCTGTCAAGTTTTCTTAAATACCAGTCATGAGCCGTATGTTCAAAATTAAAAAGAAGATTCAACAGCTATAGCTACAACAGTGGAAACATTTGACAAACATAAAGCAAGCTGTTATTATTCCATTTCTTGTATATATCTTATAAGGCTATGAATTTGATTACAAATAAATATTATAATAATAATGTATAAATAAAAAATAATAATAGTGTAAACTCATAAAGGTGAAAACGCACACTGCACACCCACAGCTCTACTTGGCCTTTAGTTTATCTAATTATTACAACACAATGCAGCCAAACATAGAGTACAAAGAAACCATTTTTAAGAAAGGCACTAGTTTAGTCTTCACTCGTTATTTTTAATATTATAATTTTCTTTAACATTTGACTGCAAAAAATAGTACATTTGTATTAAAATAACGACATACAGCAGTATGCGCAACTGCGCTCGCGGCGACCTGAGTTCGAATCCCGTCTCGTGGTCCTTTGCCGATCCCACACCCCTCTCTCTACCCTATACTTTCCTGTCAGCTCTATACTGTCCTGTCCAAATAAAAGACATAAAAAGCCCATGAATAAATCTTTAAAAAAAAAAACTTTACTCATAGTACAGCCTCTGATCAAATATGTAATAATCGCATATTTCATTTTATTTTGAATTCTGTTGCATATAAATTAATGTAAAATAGAACAATTAGTCTGTGATAAGATTAGTCTGGAGCCTAAAGGTCTTTCTATAATTAGTTTGTTGTGGTTGGTCATATAGCAGCTACTGTCTGATTCTAGTCATAATAATGTTTCAAATGAATTTAATACAGAGAAGTATTAAATACATATGAACACACAGATTTCTCTATGACAGAATATTGTCAGACTATAACGTCTGAAAAGAATGTTCAATGCATATTTAAGCAGTCCAGAGATGGGAGAGATTTCATAGATGCCGGTATTGAGAAATAAATAAACACGAGCTTGCACATAATAATAAGAAAAAATCCTACACTTTCAGATTGAAAGAATTTATTATCCCTATATTGAAACTGCAACAAATGCAGTCATGCCGCATAAATTTTTCAGGCATTTAAAAAGCAAATTATAAAATAAAGAAACACACATATTGGCTGCAATAGTTTGTCATTTTGTGGAAAGTGGATAAAATATATCATCTTAGACTTAAAAATAAAGGTTCTTTATTGGCTTTGATTTCAACATGTCTTTGATTATATATAGTGTGATCCAATAGCCAAGGCTCAAGCACACATAACTAAACAACAGTGAAGAAAACAGTGCTGGAAAAGAATCAGGGTCTCTTTATGCTAGGTGATTGACAGGAACAGATTCTCACTGGCCCCATGTGGATGATGCATAGAAGTTTGGGATTGATATATATTCTTCTCCATGATAAATAAACAACATAATATAGTATTAGAACACCAGATGCAGTTACACTGCCCTTCATATTTGGAAATGAAAAAAAGAATGAGAAGGAAAAAAAAAAGAATGAGAAAGGCAGAGATGGAAACAGTGAGCACATTGATACATGCTAGCTCTTGAATTATGAATGAGCTCTAAGAATGGATGACATCTACATAATATCACATGACCTGTCAAGTTTTCTTAAATACCAGTCATGAGCCGTATGTTCAAAATTAAAAAGAAGATTCAACAGCTATAGCTACAACAGTGGAAACATTTGACAAACATAAAGCAAGCTGTTATTATTCCATTTCTTGTATATATCTTATAAGGCTATGAATTTGATTACAAATAAATATTATAATAATAATGTATAAATAAAAAATAATAATAGTGTAAACTCATAAAGGTGAAAACGCACACTGCACACCCACAGCTCTACTTGGCCTTTAGTTTATCTAATTATTACAACACAATGCAGCCAAACATAGAGTACAAAGAAACCATTTTTAAGAAAGGCACTAGTTTAGTCTTCACTCGTTATTTTTAATATTATAATTTTCTTTAACATTTGACTGCAAAAAATAGTACATTTGTATTAAAATAACGACATACAGCAGTATGCGCAACTGCGCTCGCGGCGACCTGAGTTCGAATCCCGTCTCGTGGTCCTTTGCCGATCCCACACCCCTCTCTCTACCCTATACTTTCCTGTCAGCTCTATACTGTCCTGTCCAAATAAAAGACATAAAAAGCCCATGAATAAATCTTTAAAAAAAAAAACTTTACTCATAGTACAGCCTCTGATCAAATATGTAATAATCGCATATTTCATTTTATTTTGAATTCTGTTGCATATAAATTAATGTAAAATAGAACAATTAGTCTGTGATAAGATTAGTCTGGAGCCTAAAGGTCTTTCTATAATTAGTTTGTTGTGGTTGGTCATATAGCAGCTACTGTCTGATTCTAGTCATAATAATGTTTCAAATGAATTTAATACAGAGAAGTATTAAATACATATGAACACACAGATTTCTCTATGACAGAATATTGTCAGACTATAACGTCTGAAAAGAATGTTCAATGCATATTTAAGCAGTCCAGAGATGGGAGAGATTTCATAGATGCCGGTATTGAGAAATAAATAAACACGAGCTTGCACATAATAATAAGAAAAAATCCTACACTTTCAGATTGAAAGAATTTATTATCCCTATATTGAAACTGCAACAAATGCAGTCATGCCGCATAAATTTTTCAGGCATTTAAAAAGCAAATTATAAAATAAAGAAACACACATATTGGCTGCAATAGTTTGTCATTTTGTGGAAAGTGGATAAAATATATCATCTTAGACTTAAAAATAAAGGTTCTTTATTGGCTTTGATGGTTCCATGAAGAACCTTTAATGCACAAAAGTTTCTTTATAATGCCAAAAGGTTCTTTTGATTATTATAATATTCTAAGAATTTATTAAAGAACTGTTTACTGTCGTTCTGAGAACCCAAAGTGGTTATTTTTTTTCCTACGTGTAAAGACTATCATAATAATATAACATTTAAAACCTTTATTTTTAAAAGTGTATGTGTCAGTCTATTCATCATGTCCATTATTTCTCTCAGTCTGGACTAAATGGGTCATAAAACAGACAATTATTGTAGGAAATGCAACCAACTCCATCTCATAAGAAAAATTTACTATTTTACAAGGTGGTGATTTTGTATACATTTGTATGGTGATTTCTATGGAAAAGTACAATGTTTAGGAAAGTAAGCATGAAGGTCCACTCCTAACCTCATCCTAACTGTCAGTTCACCAAAACTCATCTAAAATCTCATATGTATGTTTACATACAATCTGCTTATGTCCTATTGATGGTTAGATTTAGGGGTGGACCTTCATGCCTGTGCCTATTGTTTGAGGTTTTTCTGAAAATCATATGCTTCCTTATTAATGAATTAATACAAAATTGCGACCTCAATTTTTTTTTTTTTTAAATTGATCGTTCTGGTATTGTCAGCTATTTGGGTAATGTTTTTCACAAACCAATGCCTCTGTTCTCCACAACACATATATTTTTTGCTTATTTTGTTTAGTATTGTTTTATTATTTTGTCTCCTTTGTTTCTCTCTGGATCTTGTCTTAGGGTCACCGTTTCTGCTTGCAATTAGGATAGTCTAGTTAATTAAGAGGCTATTTGAGGAATTGTTTTTTTTTCTTTAGCCTAATGAATTGTGTCACAGCCATCCTATTAATTAATTTGAGAGCCATATTACACGGTAGGATGTGCTGTGTCCTAATTTTGGAAGACCCAACGGGATACCACCATATTTCTGAGAGACAAACACAGTCTGAGATAAGATGGGGAATAGATTTTCAAAGAGAAAAATATGAATAGCAGTCTATGCAGACGTCTTCTTCTGTGAATGCACGGATGTGATAAAGTTGCCAAAAAAGTAGCCTATTTATGAGAATTGTCCACAGTGGCTAATGTGTGCGTTGATACAATCTATAATGCAAAAGTGAACCGAGTTGAAAATCTTCCCAATAGCGCCCACTAGGTCTAGTGTGTGTTCCTCTGTGCGATAGTTCACTATCGGACGCTGCTCCAATGCCCTGGATCACAGCGTCTGTCTCCTCGCAGGACCCGTCGGCTCTACCCACAGTTCCCCGCGCTCAGACAAGATGGAGGAACGCAGCAGCTGCAGGAGAACAATGTTTGGACTCTGAACATTAAAATAAACGATCGAGGGGGGAAAATACACACACAGAGAGAGTCAACGGTGGACATGCACTGGTAAGCGAAACCCTGAGATCAGCTTTACGTGAAGTTTGAAGCGCCGGAGAGGCGCACGCAAGCAGGGCAGACAACAAAGCGCAGTGCAGCGACGCAGTGTAGCATGTAGCCGCGTAGCTTGACGCGGAGCATCAATTGTTCGTTGGAGTTATATGGGGGTGTTTATCATGGGTAAGCGCTGTCGCTCTCGCAGCAGTGCCATTGTGCATATTCTATATGTCTTCATTTCTTGTTGTGTAAAACAAAAGCACATTTCGACTTTGCAAAGTGATTTTTAGTTAATTATTGCAGATATTTTTATTATATTTGTCAGTATATGAGTGCACGTTCCATGCTCTACGCTTCGCAAGTGTAATTTATTTATTAAGCGTCGCTTAGCTAGCCGTCGATAGCTAGCGCGTTAGCAGCGAGGCCCTTTGTGAGTCGGCATGTAGTTATTAATATGGATCCCACCATAACGGTCCTGCCTTACTAACAAAAACTTAAATCTCCCACGTCCACAGTATAGACTTCAGGGTCCCGTGCCACGGAGTCGTGTTGTTTTTCTGGCCAATGTGGCCACTGCGTCCCGAGTTGGGACTCGCTTTGATTTGAGTGTGTGAAATAAATGATTTATGTTTCTGATTGATGAGCTAGCTCAGTTGGCTAACGTATGCACGAGCTATTTACATACCATCTGCGTCGCGTGCAGTCTGCGCGCACTCACAACACAAAGAGACGCGAGCTGTGTGCTGTTATACGAGATAAAAGACGCCTCTACTAGGACAAAGTGTTCCTTTATTTCGCATTTCTTTATTCCACGATATATTTGGACCCACTTTATATTAAGTGTCTTTTACTGCTATGTACTAACATTTAAATTAATCGTTTGATACAGTGCTCTTACTGCGTACACATGTTCTAGGTTGTATTTATATAAAAACACCTGAATGTAATTACATATGTAATTAATTTATGTGGTTACATCTGTAATTGCATTGTTAATCCTAAACCCACCCTTAACCTAACCATACTGTGAATCCTGCCACTAACATTACCCATATTCCACCTCAAATTTTTTTTTATATAAGCAAATGTGGAACCACAAGAAAGATAGACATGTATTGAATCTAATAATTAAATGTTGGACATGAACTCTCCATGTCCTGAATGGGCTCCTATTGATTCTTGAGGTTAGACTTCATCTTTTCCTTGAATGTGAAGTGACACGGATGGCGTGTTTCTGACTAATGCCAGAGCATCTGGTTCAGATCCAATCCAGCAGCCTTTTAAGGGGAAATGAATTAGTATGAATCATCGGATGGTGCAGGAATCTAAAGAAGAGCAATTGACCATTGACTTCCCGGAAACACGATGTACCCTCGGCAAATGTGCGCGCACACACACACACACACACACACACACACATTGAGTGAGACGTGGAAACTATTCTACAGTGCTCGTCATAATTTAAATGGAAACATTTCTGCAAAATACCAGCTCTCATTTACAATTGTAAAACCACTGTATTTTATTATGGGGTCTATGATAAATTGATTGGGAAGCTTTTTTTGTCATTTTATTCCATTTAATTTTTAAATGACAATGATGAGTAATAAAATGCTCCAGTTAAAAGGATAGTTCAACCCAAAATGAAAAGTGTCATCATTTACTCACCCTCGTGTCGTTCCAAACCTGTATGACTTGCTTTCTTTGGTGTAACATAAAAGAAGATATTTTGAGAAATGTCTTAGTGTTTTTTGGTTTGTTTGTTCTAGGGATGCACCAAAAGAAAAATTCTTGGCCGAAGCCGAACAAAATGAAACACTGGGCCGAATACTGAACACGATTTTTCGCATTTTTTTCCCCATGTAGGCCTATTTTGCCAATTTTTTTTTTCACCATTGCATAAATTAAATAGCCAAAATGTGCTTTTTACTGTTTTGTCCTGCTTTTCAAATAAAAAATCAATTACAAAACAACTATTTAAAAATATTTACTTAACACTGAACATGTTTTTTAGCATTCTAGCAGACATTATACCAACAAAGCACAATTTAACTTAAAATTAATAAATTAGTAAAATATTTTTTGGCAATTTTTGAGACTTGAATCAGGCATGTGTTTTTTTACTGTACAAATAAAGGCAGCCTTGCTGAGCAGAAGAGACTTCTTTTAAAACATTAGAATATATTACAGATCCCAATTTGACCACCATGTGTGAATGTTATAATACATGTATTAATAGAGCTGTTGTAGGGTAATTATTATTATCATTATTATTGTCTTACTTTTTATTTTATTTTACAGAACAACAGTAAAATTACAATGCTAACATTTATGAATGTTGATGGAGTTGTTGCTTTTGCTCGACTTTTATTTTGGCAGAAACCCGCAGGATGCAGATTTATAAATGATTCTCATTACGAATTTGGGAAGATGTTTGTCGCACGTATCACATTGTCACATTCAGTACCGCCGCTCCCTATATGCAGAGTACGCAGTTTGTGTAGGGCACCAACTTCCAGGGGGGCACCATCCCATTTGCTCAAAAAAAAACAACAACTTTCGTTCTATATTAATTAACATACACGTAAATAAAAATATAAACATGAACATATATACATAATTATAAAAAATGCGTTTTACGGTGAACGCAGTAGACAGGCACACGTGACGCACCATTCTCGCATCCGCGCTCGCTCTCACCTCATGTTTGCGGCTGACTGCAAATGATCATAACTGATGAACAACTATGCCCGGGAAAAGACATCAGTAGTCCGGCGCCGAGACAAGAAAAAGAAAAAAGGCTGATGATGCCCGTGCATCACTTTTAGGTACGTTTATAATCCTGTGAAACTTTTTTGGATGTTGAAGTTAATTACGTGTTTTAATGTCGGTAATAATATCACCTCCGCATCTGCCGTAATATTCTCTCAGAGTTAACATGTTCCCTTACAAATATTAACCATAATTTTACTACGAAAAAAAAAACATGGTTCTTGTAGCAATGGTAACCACAAATTAACCATGGTTTCGATACTTCTAATAATAATTTACGAAGAATTCAGATAGGCCTAATATTTTATTGGTAATAAAAACAGACCTAGGCGATCAACAACCTTTAAAATGTCATAAAATGCATTATATAAAAACAATGAGGCAACAATTATTGGTTAATTAATAATAATCGTATGGTTTCATTGAATAACACTGTTAAAATACATAATACATAAACAATTTATGTACATTATTGCAAAGGGCGCCAAATGGCTGTTTTAACACTTACAAGATGATCAAATCCTTGTTTAATATTGACCAAACATTTAATTCAAATATCCACTTAATCTTTAATTTTGGCCAGCTTTTTGCGATAGAAATGCTTGCCTCTATAATTTCTTCAACAAAAACATGTGGACATCACAACCCTTACAAAAACTAATCCTTGGCTTTATCGAAGTAAAACTGTAAAAAGTAAAATTTTCTTTTGTGTCATTTCTGAATGCTTGGGACTATAAAATCAATCAGACAACTGTATTCGTAAAATCATAGCCATATGCGACTGTCTAGCTACAATTGTAAATTGTAAATAATACAATTTAATTACAATTTAGTTATTTACTTTTATATTTTATTAAAGTTCTATTTTGACCCTTATAGTAGGTGTTTTTTTTTAACTTCCATAATATTTTGGGGAGGGGGCACAACAATACAATTATGCTTAGGGCACCTATTTGCAGTTAAGCACTTATTAGCTGGATCAAAAGAGCATACGGCTACTGCTTCTAAGTTTGTTTTTAAAGATCTGCACATCACTTGCTTGCATCACATGCTTCACGATTTCCATGAATTTGGCAAGCATCATGAAGTTTTCATAGTTTTGACACAAACATTTGTCACAGTGACCTGGTTTTGAGGAGCCTCAAAGACCTGAAATGAAAACTTTCCAAATTACAAAAGCACTCGGATGTAATATGCAGTCAGAGTCTTAGCACTAACATGGCTGACGTGGTTGTCCATGGCACATTCACACTCTTGCAGCTTTTGAAACTTAATTTTCAGCTTTTATAACTTTTCTATTGTTTTGCCAAGATTTTATTGCTTCTTAGCAACGTAGCTTTAAAATAATAAGGAAATACGAAAATAATGACAGGATTGAATTTGTAATGTTAATTCTTAAATTGCTGACACTGATATCTAGAGTAGAATGGCACACATACACATATATATATATATATATATATATGTTATTATATATAAACATTTAGTTTTTGTGTATATATATATGTGTGTGTATACTGTTTGGGGTCAAGTATAATTTAAAAATAATAATACTTTTATTCATTATGCATTAAAGGATACATTTAATTTTACCTCCTCTTCCCTCTGCTGACCCACGACTGCACACCGTCACATAACTCCAACCTCTTCATTTTTTTAAATGAATCTAGTGAGTCAGTGATTCATGATTACCCATTCATAAAGACTCACTTGATTCATTCCTGAATGAATCAGCTGTTCAAATTAATCAATTGAATTAATGATTCAGTTATAAAAATCAGTGACTTACCGCCACCTGCTGGCAGTTTGTTTCATTTTAAAAGTATCTTTTCAGTTATTTAAATCATTTAATATTTCTATATTCAAAATTTTATATTTAAAACATTAATATCATCATGAATTTATGGATTTAATTGCACTCATTCCACTTCTGAGCCTCATTAAATGTCTGAAAGTACACCAAGCCACTTTTGTGTTCTTCTGTGCCACCTCTACAAATTAATTTTGTTAATACTGATTTAATTTGATTGGTAACTTATATTTCTTATTCTACTTGTTCTTATTCTGTCGTTTTAATTACAATTTTTAAAAAGCTTATAAAATATAATTTTTTAAAGAATTTGACAAAAGATGACGACATAATTTTAATAAAGTTAGAGGAGTCAAATATCACCTCGTAATGGGAAGGCTACTTTTTGATAAATAAAGCTACTTTTTAAATAAACAGTGTTTAATATACAGGTTTGTGGCTCTTAATTTCCTATTAATTAACCATTTGTAATCTTATGTTCACTGTTCATTTTTTATAAATATAGGATTTGTATTATATCTATATTCATTCATATAGTCAAATCGAATCGAGAATTGAAACCAAATATCGAATCGGAAATCGAATCGAATTGAGAGCTTGAAAATCGAATCGAATTGGAACATCTGAATCGATACCCAGCCCTAATTTTAAAGTATCAGTTCATTTAAATTGTAGTAATATTTCACAATATTTAAAAGAAATGCATCTTTAGTGAGTGTATTGAACTGTATTGTGTATTATTGTATATTATTATATTATTTTGTGAATGGAAAAAAAAAAAGGTAAAAATTATTTTCATTTATTACTCCGTATATTACGTATTAAAAATAATTGTGTTGCTACTTGGCTAATCAGACACAGTTGTGAGCACTTCATGTATGTAAAGACTGTCAAATCATTATTTGGTCTCTTTTAATGTCTTTAGGATGAGTGAGGTGGCCTTGCATTGAAGCAGACCCCGTCGCCCCTGTTCCAGCATCAGCGTCAGTGTGATAACACTCTGAGCCCTGCCCCTTCAACATGAGCCTGATCCAGGACAAACTTGGCAATGAGTTCCTCCGCTCTAACGGGGGCATGGAGCCAGGCTTTGGTCCAGGCATGCTCATGTTCAGTCACCTGCCCCCTGTTACTAGCTTCACCCGGCTGGCCAGTCAAACCGTTATGGCTGACCTGCAGCCCCACGAGATGATCTTGAAGAAGGAGAGGGACTCGCCGGACTGTGGAGGAGGAGGGATGAGTGCTGGAGGCATGGGTGGTGGAGGTGGCATAGGAGGGATGATGGGAAGCATGGGAGATTACGTTCATGCCATGGGCATTAAACAGGAGAAGGTCTCTGAACATGATTACAGGCTGCCTCTCTACCCGGGTGGTGGAGCTGGAACTGGAGTACGATGTGGAGGAGAGTTGCTGGAGGTCTCGCTGGGCAACCATCAGAACCTGGTGGTGCACGACCTCAGTCTGGGAAACGTAAGTGTGCCCATGTCTGTCTGTAAAAATATATTTGGACAGGATGGTTGGTAACACCAAGGGATGCTCGTGAAATCAAAACCTCGAATCGAATCGTGAGTTGAGTGAATCGTTACATCCCTAAGGAATGCTTTTATTATTTGTGCTGTTATTAAAAGGTAATGCACCCTCATTATGTGATTTCCTAGATTCCATATTTTACTGAACTTCCCTACTTTCAATATCACTACACTCTGAAAGTGAAAGGTTCTTTAATATCAATGGAACCTGTGAATATCCATAGAAAAATGTTCTTTTAGATTATAAAGTTTTCTTCACACTAAGGAAAGGAATGGTTCTTTGAGGAACTGTTCACTAAAAGGTTCTATGGTTTTTCAATGGCATTGCCTTTTGGAACCTTATTTTTTAAGAATGTAGTTATTCTATTAAAGGAAAAGATGTCTCACAAGGGAAAACATTTTTGAGTTTTAGTGGAATATAATTTTTTTTAAATAAACAGTGCCGTTTATAGTGTCATTGTTTTTTTTGTTTTTGTTTTTTATTCCACTTGCATAGCTTTTAGTGCTAAACTAAAGAAAGTGATAAAAGAAAGAGTTTCAGAGATTATAATATAGTCTCAGTTATTTAATAAGGCATCATAGTGTTTTCCCTAGTCAATAACAGCACAAGTTATGAATTTAAGAGATAATATAGCTAATGGCCTTCAGCCTCAACCCTGAGCAAGAGTCCTATAAAAATTTATTTATTAATTAATTGATTCAAGATTTATGGTGTTAGTAGTGGGTGTCCTGCATCAGTAATCTAATGGTTGTTGAATTTTAGGGAGCATAGGTGTTTTTTTTTTTGTTTTTTTTTTTTTGCTATTTTTTCTTTTGATATCTAAATTTCCAAATTCCCTAGATTCTTAAATTAAGCCAGGTTTGTGTTTAAGGTCCGTGGAAGTCTCTATCCCAAGCCGAGCTGAAAGCAGATTCCACAATATTACTGTAGGACAGAAATTAATTGTCCTTCCTGTCAGTGATGTCATCCCATTTCTGTGCATGATTGAGGGGTTTGACTTGGTCAAATGCAACAGGACCCATGCAGTTGTGTGTGTGGAAATGCAAAACAGCACCTCTGCTTCTCATACTGTGATAATTAAGTCCTTTCCGAGGTTATAAGGGCAGTGAACCATTTAATCATTATAAGGGTTTATTGATCATCTCATCCGCACCGACGACTGAAAGGAAATCAGGCTGAAGCATTGAGACACTGCATCTGGCTCTGTCTTTGTGCAGTAGCCAGAGGCAGCTGTGATTACATTAATAAAATGATGACTCATGCTAATTCGTGATTATTTCTAGCAGCACGCCAAGAAGTAACACGCAAGATGTCTTTGTTCTGTCTTTTGTTTTCTGGTTGGTTGGATTTAATCTATCCCAGTTGCTCTTCCTCATGCTTTTTTCTGTTAAAGGAGAGGTAATTTTAAAGACATCAGACTAGAGCAAAGAGTAAAATTTGTTTTGGCTAGCCATGGGTGCAATTTAAAATTTCATATCTTTCTCGCTCTAGTTTTCTCTTTTGTCAAATATGCCATAGCCTTCAGAAGGACAATGAGTGTCACATGGACAATTCATATTTTAATCTCCATTCAACATAAGTTTTGTGTGCGTGTTTCTCGCCAATCTGTTGTTTTATACTGCCCAAATGTGAGACAATATTCAGATGCGCAGCTGGTCAATAATCAGCATGGTGTTTTTCCATAGATGGATGCGAAAAAGGGAAAGCGTCATTGATTCTCCAGGGATAGATATAGAGGCTCATAAATTTTCATAGATTTTCCAACTTGCCTTCTGCCACATACACATTAGCCAATACTTTTAATATTCAAACTAGTCTCTCATCTAGTATGTGCATATTATAGAGTTGTGTCTGATTTTTGTATCTGGGTTGGTTTCAGTTAAAAAAAAAAAATCCCCCCAAAAATCCAAGGCACAGAGTGTCTCTCATTCACACAACTTGAGGTTCAATATGCCATGCATACAAAATGAAAAAACGATTTTTGCTTCACAAATGTTGTGTGAATGAATGGGATTTTGTGGTCTTTTATTTAGTCTGCTCCGAATCCCATTCTGTCTTTGTTATCCTTCCAGCTGTCAGGACGGCTGGTAAAGGAATCCTCAGGGAGGAAAGGTCGAAGGTCAAACGGCGAGGGACAGGAGGGCAAGACACGGAGGAAACGAGGAGAGTCGAAGGTGCAAACAAACACTTCATTAACATAAAACTTATTCATTATTCACTGCTATGCTTATTGTTAAAATTTAAAAAGGATTTCCCTTCATAAAATAATATTAGTGTTGTCTAATGCTGAAAATTGTTTTCTCTGCAGTCAATGATGCTGGATCCAGATGGAGGGAGCTTGTCTCCAAACTCCAAACCGCACATCTGTGAGCACTGCAATGCAGCGTTCCGGAGCTCCTATCATTTACGCCGACATGTGCTTATACACACAGGTCAGCATGCGTTTACACTTACACAAAAGAGCGTGCATATGTTAGTAGAGATTGGCCTGTGCACACGGTGTCATCGCAAACAATTTGTTCCAAGGATTAACAGCCAGTATTAAGTAGAGATTATGGGTACTTGCATTCTGAAATAGCTGGTTTGTCAAGTTCACAAAAGTGCAAAACTATTTTTGTATTACACGAAGACGTTGCTTACTTAGATAAAATGTTTGAATCATTTCTTAAAGATTTAAAATGATTTATCATGAAAATAGGTTTGCGAAAGAGCTATATATATATATATATATATACAAATCGCACATCGTTAAAACAACAATTACGATATTATCGCAGGCAATATATATCGCACATCCCTAATATATATATATATATATATATATATATTTATATAAATATTGATATAAATATTTATTACATATATTTCTTAAATATATACATATATGTGTATGTATTTATATAATATACATATAAATATACACAGTACACACATATCATGTAAACAAACTTATTTTGGATGTGATTAATCAATTTGGCAGCCCTTATATATATTTATATATATATATATATATGTGTGTGTGTGTGTGTGTGTGTGTGTGTGTGTGTATGTATAT